CGCGGTATTTTCAGAGTCGTTCACAAAGATGGAGGAGTGACGTAACGCACACATTAAGACGGAGAGTTGATTTGCACCGTCGATGGCACTCTCGCGCGGTACCGGAGCGGAACACCAAGGTGTATCACTAGGATAACACACAGAAGCCGCCCGCGCACGCTTGCGATTAGCCGGCGCGGCGTCGCGAGTGTATGATGGAGGGTGTCGTTATGCTCGCGAGAGGTCGGGTCGGGGATGACTACACTAGTGGCTGTTTACGGATCGCGCGCGGCCGCGACGCGAGCACCTCCTCCGCGACTACCGTTCGCGCGCGATTTTTGCGACCTCATCGACGTGATGGCAGCGGCGGCGGCGGCGGCGGCGGCGGTCGCGCGGGCCGCGCCAAGCAGGACACGTCGTCACACATCGTCCTCGGGTCACGTCAAGAGACGAACGGTCCTCCGCCACCTCCACGTGCTGCGCAGGCACGATCGACCTGCGACGGGTCCACAGCCGTAGTCGTCGTAGTCGTCGTCAACGAGGAACCTGTATGTGTGTGGACAAAGGGGTGCGGAACGCGTCGCTCGCGATCTACGTTCTGCGGCATACTAGCTCTCCTGCCCTGACGCCCGCCACCCACCCCCCCGGCTCCAGCAATCCCTCCCGCGACCCCTTTGGGGGCCACCCGCCCCGTACGTCAGATCCTTCCTTTCCGCCCTCCACCACGGCTCGCTAGCGGCACGGAGCGCCATGCCACCCCCGCGTTGGACCGTTTCGCAGTACCGTCAGCGCCGGTAGCTGCCACCACCGGACGGGGTTGCGTACGCCGCCGGACGATACGGCGCCAATCAATCGTGATCCAGTTTCAAGCCCGGCGGATATTTTCTTCCGGTTCGCACCATTCGTTCAATTGCCCAAGTGGGTCTTGCGAGAAGTATTAGTACTCTGGGAATATTCCCGCTTTTACAGACATTTTTAGTGCTTGACAGTATACATTGTGACATACAAAGTGAATAGTAGTGAAGATCTAACGAATGCTCCTTCGAATTGCGAATAGAAGACATTTAATTAAGAAAGACTGCTCTTTGCTGTATTTTTTTAGAATAAATTTCTTAATTTAAATAACGTTGTAAAATCTATCTTTTGCTTATTTCAATATTATTACGTAATTATATGTATAAATATCGTGTAGATTCTATTTCATATTTATATCTCTGCTATTTAAAAAGTATTATTTATTATAAATTTGCATATTATAGCTCTTTCAAAGAAAATATATAAATGTATTTTAAAGATACCACGCAAACTATTTAAAAAATGATTTAAGTATATTGCTGTTTATTGTTAGTATTTGAATATTCTCATTCTTTTTCTTATGTTAATCATTTTTTAAAGCAAGATTTAAAAGAGTGTTGGAATTGTAATATCTTATAAGTTATGTTTATAGAGCATTAAAAGCATTAAAAGATTAATTTAATAATTCAACTAAAGTTTAATACAAGTAAATATTAATATGCAAAATTTTTAATATAATTAAAAATATATTTTGAAAATGCTTGCAAAATTCAATTTCTTTATAAAGATTAGTAGGCACTTTAAATTAATGTAAAATATAATATTATTTTACATATTTTTTTAAAATATTGTATGGGACAAAACTTCAAATAACAAGTGTGTAATACTGTAATAATATACTTTTTAAAATTTATTAAATTCGCAAAAATCTTAATCTAAAGATATAATCAGAATAATTTTTGAGTTTTGAGTAATTAAAAATTAATATCAATATTATTCTTATTAGTTAATTTTATTCCTATTTGGTTAATTTATTATTCTTATTACAATATCTGATTACAAATATATAAATATTTTATTATAAAAGAAAAGAGAAAATTTTTATATGTATTATATTAAAAGTTAAACACAATTATACATCAATCACATTAAAATTTTTTCAATTATTTTCTAGTATTCCTTATTTAATACATTTTATTTGTACAAAATAATGTATCTTTATTACAAATCTATTGTTTTAAACTATGTAAAAAGTAAAGTAGTTTATTATTCATCGATATGATCCGCAGCAGCGGCTAATAATTTGTAATATATAACCTGTAAAATATAAACTTCAAATAATAATGCTCGAAATAATTAAAGAAATTATTAAAAACATTAAAGAAATAATTATCCAATTTTTTATTCATATTTTAAGTGAATATTTAATAAGAAAATTATTATCAAAATTTTTCAAGCATAAAAACTGTTATAAAAGATCTATTATATAATAAATAATAAATGAATAAATTTATCCTAGGATGATTCTGTCGCTGTCCTATATCTTTCCGAGCCTCCTTCTGCTCCTTTGCTGTTCTTTACACTTATACAACACTCACTCGCGAAAATATGATTAATTACAATTACGCGATATTTTAAACTTCCGATTTGCATGCCGTGCATTATTGTATCATATTAATAAAAAAAAAAATAAGCAAAAAAACAAGAGTTACGATCCAACGCTCAAAAACAATTAGTCTCATAAATTAGAGGGATATAAAAATTTCAAAAAGTAGTCTCGTAAATTAAAGCAACGTAAGAATAACAAAAAGTTTCTCTTAAAATTATCGATATGTCAAATTTATGTTAAAATGCCCACAAATACATACAAAATTTTCCTCGAATGTCACAATCGTATAATATCATATATTAATTGATCAGATCATAAGTTGAGTTAGATCAAGAATCCGTTTTTTTTCTTCGTTCTTTTAATAGCATATTTTAAAGTAAAGCAAGTGTTCTTTAGTATCTTTGTGCATAGATCAGTTCTCTCGCCACAATATTATTTCTTGTCTCAACGAAGCAACAAGTTTCACTTTCTCATGGATATCGATTAAATATATTATGTTTTTCTTTTCTTAACTTACACAAGAAAGAGTTAAAGATTTTCAATTTTAAACTCAATTGCAAAATTATAATTAATAAAAAATGACTTCTCTTTATTTGTTGTATTGCTTTATTTTATCGAAATAATATGTAATGATAAGATATGTATTTTTCGATAATCTTTATGTTAAACAGAAATGCATACATATGATTCAAAATATAAAACATTGAATAACAAATGCTCCTCATATTATCTATACTTTTAAAATTTCTTTGAAATATTTATATCTTTAGTATAATTTTATACAATTACAATTGTTAAGCTGAATTATAGAAAATACAAAAGCAAAATAATTGTACAGTATTTTAATGTGACAGAAAGTAATTTTAAATAATATAAATAATGAGCTGATCATAAAAAGTTTATCTTAGCTATATTTTTATTATGCTCAATTTTCTTATAAAAAAAAAGTTTCAGTTTATTTTTCATAACACGGTACGTTACGAGGATATATCGACACTAAATTATGAACAATTTGTAGCATATTTCAAAAATGTAGAGAATAAGCAAATGCCATTTAAACTTTCTGAGGCCAATAAAAAGAAGAAAAAAAGTTTAGAGATAGTGAAATCATTTCTTGCGGAAGAAACGAGAACTGCAGCTCCACCAAACCATTCAACGTATGTAATTAAATGCATCTCGCGCCAGACGCCTCTTTTATTTTTGCTCGTTCCACTTGTGTCGCTAATCGAAGTAGGGCGCCACATCGATTTTGGCCGTATCCGAAGCGCGGTGCCAAATATCACGTAAAAGGGCACAGCCGGGTTCTCCATTTCTCGAGACGCCGATCTAAAATAGGATCAGACAGAAACGCGGACGAAGCCGGAGGTTGCAAATAAGTAATGAGCATCGCGCCTCAAGGATAAGGATGGGATTAATAAGGTAAGGCCCCACTAACGAGGATAGCTATCAGAATGTGCCACGACCCGATTAGATCGCTTGTCCCGTATTCTGGATTCTATATTTCCTCTTTTCACTCCTTTCCTCCACATTTATCTTACCGCTGCTATAACTCTTCCCCTCTGCCCCCGCTCGCAACTAGCTACGGGATTTTTAACTGAGAATTTTAACGATCGACCTACATTTCCGCGTCCCATTTACGGTATATCCTACGGTAATGTCAAACACCGCGATAAATATGCTAGCGGAACTAGCGATCGCCGCTATAAGGACAAACAGCAATGCAATGGCACGATTAGGCGATTATCGGGATATCCACATCGCAGAATCGTTTGCGGAAAGTCGCCGTACAAATCGCCCGATACGAATCGATCTGCTCGTGGATTTCACAGACTATTTCTCTCATTTACCTTTATATTTAGCAGCCATCGAATACATCTTGCTGTCACGTAAATGCATGCATAACATAAATTAATTAAACGAAATTATTATCGCATGTATAAAATCTGACGGTATTTTTGGCAACGAGTGATTCTTAAATTTATAAACAACATTATTACAACAATATTATTTAATAATAACGTAAAATGTATTAACATAAAATGTACACTTATCAATGTCTGTAGACATTAAAATATAACTTTATGTAATTCAAGCTGTAATTAGTCATGAATATTTCTTATTTTCTTATTAATTGAATTCATTCACGTGAACAACTGAAAAATCGTTATTGATACGTAATATAAACGCAAATCAAGTCGCGCCTGATTAATGTTTACGCTTGGATAATTACAAATGCGACACAGTCCGTAGTTACCGATCGATTTAGCAATAATTGCTTGATGCAACAATGCAAATCTCAAGCTGTTGTAATTCCCGACATTTTGTGAAAAAAATATTTTAAGCAGAAATTGTTTGTTGATCAAGAATTTATTTAAAAACTTTTCTTTAAAACGTGTCAACTCTTCTCACGAGTTTTAACAATCGTTTTAATAATGAAGAAGTAAATGTAAAATGGCTGTATGTAAGAACGAAATACATAAAACTGATATAAAATCTCTCTCTTTAAAATAGTAATGTGCCACTTCATAATTTAAAAGAATCAACTTTTAACAAAAGTAAGTCGACTATTTTACCCATAAGCATCTATTTTCCCGACTTTAAATCACAATGTACTTACCCTCATATGTGGCTGGACCAATAATTCGTGAAGTTCTCGAAGATCGGCTCTATCGATATTTCGTACCGTCGAGTGCTCTGCTTCCCGAAGGATTTCTTCAACTTCACGAGCACGTTGGACTGCATCTGTTTGCGGTGCTCGATACGGTGTTGGTACACGACCTGAGATTCTATCATAAAGCTAGAAATAAGAAGTAATAACATCAATAAACTAAATTTTTCTATCTTAGTAATTCTATTTTTTTCATAATAACATTTTTATGCAAACAAAGTTGCATTTATCTAACAGACAATTATTTATTCATTTTCCAAAATATGACTAAATGAGGGTAAATGATTGAAACATTGTTCCTTTTTTTATGAAAATGCTAGAAGATATAGCATTTTAATAATTAAAAAAAATTAAAATTGTTAAGTATTCAAACTTTTCTGTGATAATCTTCACTTTATTTCAAAGAATACATTTATAAAAACCGATGTAAAATCGACTTGAAACATAAATATCATATAAGTGTAACAGAACGAAAAATATAATTATCGAATTGGGAATTAAGATAATTATCCCATTGAAACAATTTTGAAATTGAAAATGATAGTTCGTACGCAGTCCATGAGATGTCCTGTCATAGTGGACGCGCTAAATTTACGAGAGCCGGTGTCATTTTATTTATATAAAAATATTAACTTGTGAATTAATGACTTGCAAACTTCTTCCTTATATTCTGCTAAATCGAACTGATTTTTATTTTACTCACCAGGAGACCCGCGATTTCGAGCAGGTCACCAGCTAGCTCGGCGTCGCCGATAAACATCAACTGACAGAGATGCATCTCTATCTATTAAATAGTACACATAAGCCTCACCGGGCTAGGACCACGTGTAGCATGGTCTTAGCACGTGGCTCTTATGGCCACGTGACACTTCAAGAACCACCGAAGAACAAGTTTACATTGGCACGCGTGTTGCCGCAGTAATAGGTACAATCCTTCGATCGTGCGTGGCATATTGTTTATCAGGACTCCACGGCGGCCATCTTGCTAGCCCGGAGGCAGCGCTTGCGTGCTTTTCCTCGAAAGGAACAAGGGTGGGTGGCTCGTTCCCGCGGGATATCCCGCAGGGGGTTACGTTATCCTTCACGATAGGGATGAGCGATCTTGAATCGATCTTTCAAACAATCGATTCTTTTGTATTCGATTCTCGATTTTTTTAAATCGATCCTATAAAAATGTTAAAGATTCTACACGCATTGGTTGATTTTTCGTATATGCGTATGGCATCTACACAAATTTATTTGAATAGATTTTAAGATTTAATGTATTTATCGATCGTAAGCATATCAACAACAATAAAATATCATATTCAGATTTTATTTTTATTTTAGTTCTTAGTAGAATAACTTAGTAGGATAACTTATAATTAAGA